GATCCAGCGCACTCACCTATCCACTAAACAGCAACTTCAATGTTGAAAGATTTTATTTGTTTTTTTAAAAACACCTAATCTAGGCAAAAATAATGGGGGTTTAGTTACATTATATGATCATACATTGCATAAGCCTGCCACAACGTCAATGTACCCCATCTTTGGCAGGTCCTACACTAACAGCCTAATGGCTGCTCTTATGAGATTAACCTACTTGGGGAAAAAAATTCCATCTGGGGCTCTCTGCAGTACAAGGCTAAATAGGGCCCTGGGATGAGGCACCTGTGACAGGGAGGGTATATATGTAACAGTCACAGTATAGCATCAGCTATTGTATTTGAATGGGCACCCATAAATAAAGTGAAAACAGGCTATATTATCGTTAGAAAAAAAGGGTGGGGGGAGGAAAAATAATCCCTCTATATCTATAAATAATAATATGCAAAATCCTACATAGTCCAATCGAACTAATTAAATGGCTGAAGTCTGATTATAAAATACTAAGCCAGGACTTGAGAAAATGGTTAAATCGAAAGGACAGAAAGATAAAGGATAATTGAAATAAAGTAGGAAGTAGTCAAAAGGCTACTAGTCCAGTGAAAAAAAATAATTAAATGCACGAGGCTACTAATCAGAGAGGGGACTCGGCCGGCAGAAGAGTCCCTCAATAGAGAGCAGCATGCAAAAAGTCTGGCTGATGCTAGAACTGTATGAATAGATAGGAAAACCCGACGCGCGTTTCGGCAAAGGATCGCCTTTTTCAAGGGCATGAGTAAACAGTGTGCATCAACCCCAAACCGCCTTTTATATATCTGGCGCCCAATCCTGGAACCAATAAGATGTAGCAAGTGGGAGGAGCCCGAGTGGATAGGAGTAGTATATGCCGCCCACCAATAAGATTCAAAGGTGGGGGGTCTCAGAGACCGCCAACCGCCAATCAAATCAAGCGGTGGGAGGTCTCAGAGATCCTACTCGGCAACATCTGAATATACCAACTGCTAGTCAGCTTCAGAGGTGGGAGGTCCCTGGGGCCAGTACTCGGCAAGAACCGAGCAGTATCAAAGCATATAAAGAGCTGTAATAAAAAATGAACTCACCTACATTTAACACCATATCATCATATGTGCAAGGGTATACAATAAATATTATGCAAACATTGTATCAATGTAAGCACATCCACAGCTAACTCCCCTTCATACTCTTCATATAGGGTTGTAAAGAAAAACTGTTTATATGAAAAGCACTGAGCTTGATCACATATTGTTAAAGGTATATCCATCCATATCATATCTGCTACAGTTGCTCATAATGTATAGCAAACCCTATCAAAAGGAGAGAAAAATAGGAGGAGGGGAAGAAACAAACATATAATCAAAAATAAAATAAAAAATGAAAAGACTTAAGTATAAAATTAAATTAATCTGCAGATATGCGAATTAGAAAGGAGAAGAAGAGTATGAGTAGTCTCAGTAAAATATAAGTATAGAATACTTATAAATATATAACAATCAATCATTATGGAGGAATGGGAAACAGATCCCCTAAGTTGGGTAAGTGAAACAAAAGGTAGTCCCTTATTGTCCCTTATTGAGACTACTTCCTACTTTATTTCAATTATCCTTTATCTTTCTGTCCTTTCGATTTAACCATTTTCTCAAGTCCTGGCTTAGTATTTTATAATCAGACTCCAGCCATATTATTAGTTCGATTGGACTATGTAGGATTTTGCATATTTTTATTTATAGATATAGAGGGATTTATTTCCCCCCCCCCCCTTTTTTCTATCGATAATATAACCTGTTTTCACTTTATTTATGGGGCTCATTCAAATACAATAGCTGATGCTATACTGTGACATATATATATATACACACACATAATATTTTTTTCTTTTTTGGATCTATTGCTGCTCTGCCACTTCTTTTGCAACATTCTTTCAATATATTACTTGATACTGCATTCATTGTAACTATGTTGCACTCTATATGAGCACATTAGCTCCATTGTGTCTATAATTAACTTTATACAGATTGTAGCTAAGCATTCCAATGTAATGTATATAGATAGGTTCTGAATAAGTTTCTTTTTTACGGTTTTTATCTCTAATAAAACTTTATTATTTTCTTGTTACATAATTTATCTGCAGTTCTCTATTTATACTGCTTTAAAAAGGGGTACTGGTTTTGATGGAACTAGCCTCCTCTCCTGGTAGAGGAGTATTTTTTCCTCATCTCGTTATATTTTTTTTAATCTTCTTTATATTCTAGGGTTAGGCCCTTTAGTACCCCTGTAACCCTTCTTTGTACTTCTTGGCTGGGTGTTTCCTGGTTAAGAGTGCTCTGTATATATCAAATACTAAATACATTGTGATATAAAAGAACAATACATTTCAATTAACTATTTTTTTCAAGCCTTAACACAATAAAAAAATGTACTATGTGTTTTGCCCATATTGTTTTTAATATATTTTTTCAAATTGTATTCAGATTAAAAGTTTTATAAATAAATAATTATTTAATTTAATTATGTTATTTATGTATTTTAAATAACATGTTACTTCAATTCAAAATTCTGATATAAAGCACCCATTGATATTAGCATATAGTCAGCAATCAATTCAAAACTGGTTTTTGTCTATACATAATAGCTTTTGAATACATAATTACATTTAACATGGCTAATATTTCTGCTATTATGAAGACTAGCCACTGGGTGGCAGAAAAGCATACTAAATAACACTACAAGTGTTCTCTAACTTGGGAACAAGGGAACAAAATATGCATAAACTAATTCTGTCAATAAAAAATAAACAATAAATGAATATATAACAAATTTAACCCCTGTATCACAACTTAACCTTGAATTCTATCTGTCATCTTGCTCAGAAAGCTTCAGACTTGAGAAAGGGAGGTTCTCCCAAAAGCTTGTCATTAAAAAATTGTGTTAGTCCAATAAAAAAGGTATCACAAGATACCTGTTTTTTACATCTACATCACTGGACTAATACGGCTACAATCTCTACTTGAACACTATGTGTGTGTGTATATATATATATATATTTTTTATTTTTTATTTTTTTTAAGTCTGCACAGACTGAAACGTCGACTACCTTGTATATCACTGTATTTGCTCAATAAAGAGGCAGTTAATATTGACTCTACAAGAGTGCTCTCTACTAGGACTATATACTTTGGTTGGCGATTTTGCACCTGAGCACAAAAAGACCGGAAACATCGAGTGCTGGGACCAGGGAATATATATATATATATATATATATATATATATTTATTTATTTATTTCTACTTGAACACTATGTGTATGTGTGTGTGTGTGTTTGTGTGTTTATATATATATATATATATGTGTGTGTGTGTATATATATATATATATATATATATATATATATATATATATATATATATAATATATTCCCTGGTCCCAGCACTCGATGATCCAGGTCTTTTTGCTTTAACAGTTTCTATTAGCCTTTAATTAACATCAACTTATTCTGTAGTGCTTTACAATAATACAAAGGGTGAACTAAGCAACAAAATGAGACAAGCTATTACTAATTTCAAAAGGTTGATGTTGATGTATTTACACACACAACAAAAAGGGTAGTGTTGGGGAGAGCAAGTGACAGGGTGGGACGATGAAAGAATCGTAAAATTGAGAATGAATGGGAGTGAGGACCCAATAATTAACCTGAGAAAGTAAGAGATATTTTAAGTAGTTAACTACCCAGTTTCAAGAGACTTCTTAAAGGATTAAAGACTGTGGTAGAGTCTGATGAGAGAAGCCAGGCTGTTCCAAAGGAATGGAGCTACCTGAGAGAAGTCCTGTGAGTACAAGTTAGCAGTATGAGTAGTTGACAAGAGAAATTCACCAGCAGAGCAGAGTGACCAAGAAGAGATTCAACAAAGCTTAAGAGCTCTGTGGGTAAGAATTTATAGTGTGAATAGAATTCTATAGGGCACAGTAACCCAATGTAATGATTTACAAGATGAATGTGTGTAAGATTCATTATGGACTATAAAGAGGCAGTATGGTCTCTGGATAGACCAGTTAGGGTAGAACTCAAGAGCATATATCATAAGTATTATCCGTGGTGTGAAAGAGGTTATTTTTAAGGTGAAATTTGCAGGATTTAGTGACAGTCTAGATATGAGGTGTAGGCCAAAAGTTGAGGCCAGAATCAAAGATAACACAAAGGCAGCACGCTTGCAAGGATGGGCGGATAACAAAGATAACAAAATGGATTAGTATTATGAGGAGGGAAGATAAGCGGCTCAATTTTATAAAGTTTGAGTTTTAGAAAGCATGAGGACATCCAATCAGAATCAGAAGAAATGCAACTGGTATGTGTTGTAAGACTGCAGGAGAGAGCAGGTGAGAGAAGTATATCTGGTTATCATTGGCATATGGGTGTATAGAACCCAAAATATTAAAAACTTTTGCCAAGAGAGGCACTATAAAGAGAGAACAGATGGGGACTTAGGACAGAACCCCCGATAGACTAAAAATGAGACAGAATGAGGGGAGAAGGTGTTATTGGACAAGGAGACACTGAATGAGATAGGAAAATCATGAAAGGACATTGACATGAAGGCAAAGGGTTAGAAGAGTTTGAAGAAGGAGAGAATGTTCAAAAGTGTCAAGGGCAGCATACAGGTTTAGAAAAATTAGTACTCTACACAGCACTCGTGGAGTCCAAAATGGAGGAGATAATGGATGCCCACAATACGGCTGCAGAACAACACAACATTTAATCACTCAGATTGAACAATGCAGAGAAAAAATTATGGATCTCGCAAAACAGTCCAGGGGAAACAATACACGCCTGAGGGGGATCCCTGAGACAGGCCTGTCGGCAGACTTACCTACATTCATGCATAACTTCTTCAAACTCATAGTCCCTGAAATCTCTTTTCATATGCTACTACTAGACAGGCTACACAGCGTCCCAAAACCCTAACATAATGCGGTCTTGCTGCCTCTAGATGTACTCCTGGAAGCTCATCATGTGAAGGAGCTCATCATACAAAGGAGCAGAACGTTGAAAGATCTTTCAGCTGAATTTGCAGGGGTTCAGATCTTTTCACACCTCTTGGCAGCCACGCTGCGCCAACACAAAACGTACCAATGGATCATGGAAACCCTACGCGAGAACCAGATCTTATACAAGTGGGGCTTTCCAATTCGAATGATCATCTTGAGGAACAAGGCTACCTCTATGGTGCACTCAGCGGAAGAAGGTAACCGTCTCCTACAGCAATGGAACCTACAACCTAAGTCAACAAAGACTGGTCCCCTGCTTGATCACACCACCACAGCTCCCACAGGTATACTCTGCTTTAGCAGAATTTAGATTGCTGTGACACTGACTGTCGCTCAGCACGTAATAGGTTAATCTGTTTTATTTCCTCTTTAGCAGCAGAACGTTAAGCAAATTACACCCTGGGAATCACACCCTGTAGAAATTGTGTGCCCAAAGTTAATGTTTTTTTAAAATGTTCTTAAGACCATGTTTATATACATAGTAAGTTGGCCTGTTTTTTTACTGCACATATGGCACCATGAAGCTTAAAGTTTGTTGTACCATGTACCGCACTCGGCCCTTTTGTATATACTTTGGTTTAAGTTTTTTTTCCCATTTGGTTTTATTCCACTGTCCTCCCTCCTTCACAACCTCCTGCGTACTCCAGCCATACACACCTGAGCATAATTTGTCTCATATACACAAACCTACCTTCCAGATTCTAAAATCTCATGTGTACGTTCCTATTTTGTACCACAGCCTGGAGGTCTGATTACAAGATTGGAGACACAGTGCCCCTGCGGCTCACTATATATTAATTACCATTATGCTAGCAACCATAATTAACCTCCACACTGAAGATATACTCCCATAATGTATGTGGGCTGAATATTCCCCACAAACGGCACATGGCACAAACAGCAGATGTTTTATGCTTCCTGGAAACACATGTCCCACACATCTGCCCACAAATCTAAATCGAGAGGTGTTTCTGTTTATGTACATAAATCTGTTGCATTTAAATTGTTACAAAGAATATTTGATATCCAGGGCAGGTATCTGATTATTATTTGTCTAATGAACAATGTCATGTATACCTTGGTTAATATCTATGTACCTAATGAAAATCTGAGGACCTTTCTTCACAGTGTTTTAATGAAGGTGGCAGCTGCACAGCAGTGATCTTCCATTATTTTTTTTTATTTATTATATTTTTATTTAGGTTTTCTTTTCTGTTCAGGTCACAGACATTGAATAATGAGGTTATACAATTTACAGTTGTCCGTGTATAATAACAATAACATTTGACAAATAAACATACTGTGCAATAGAATACATTTTGAAGGGCAAGATTACATTCTGGGTGAGCTGGACAGCGTTTTTATGAGAAGTGCATAAGTCCTTTCGGCCTAACGTGTGTAATGCCAGGGGGGGATTTACTGACCTTCCATTAACTGTGAATGTGTGGACCAAGACATTGTGTACTTTCTAGAGCGGCTACAGTCGTTCTGGACTTTAAGTCTGACTGTGTGTGTGCGACTTTCTGTCATTAAGTCACGATTTGCGTAGGTATCACCTTTATGTAGTCGCCAGTTGGGCGTCCTTCCTACCCTGTGTGAAGAACACCCATGGGTGCCACAACGAGTGGAACAGATGGTATTTGCCTAAGTTCGACATTCTCAGTTCCTCCATCTTATGTACATTATCTATTTTGAGGAACCATTCTCTCCTTGAAGGTCTGATCTGGGATTTCCAATTTCCCGCTACTACTGCCTTTGCCGTCGTCAGAAGAAAGTATAAGAGGGAGCATTTAAATTTGTTTTGAGAGATTGGAATGTGAAAGAACAGTATTGTCTCGGGATCAAAAGCTAGGGGCACCTTGCTAAGTTGTTCAATTATTCGTGCCACTTCCCTCCAGAAACCCACTATCCTTCTGCAGTTCCACCATATGTGCTGATATGTTCCCTGTTCTGTCCCACACCTCCAGCATAAAGGTGAGTGTTGGGTACCGTATTTACTGGCGTCTACTGGCGTGACATACCATTTCGTGAGAAATTTGTAGTTAGTTTCCTGTAAAGGGATGTTCGGGTGAGTTTTCAACATTTTCCTGAATATGTGGGACCAGTTGTTCTCATCTACTGTAGTAGAGAACCAACTCTGTGAGGCTTTAGTGTACCATGGGAGGTTTGTATCCTCTGATATTTGTAACAGTTGATAACATTTAGATATTATCTTCTTTGGTATGGGTTTTGAGCAAAGTTTTTCAAAGGTCGTTTCTTCCCTGGGGGACCATTTTAGTAACTTTTCTTTACCTAGAAAATGTTTGAGTTGATAGTATTGGAATGTTTGTAACAGTGTTTGGTTTCTGGGGTCTGAAAGGTCTTTTAAAGGTTTTAACCCTTCTGAGGTCATTACGTCTTTTAGTTCTATATTTCTCTCTTTGGCCGATTTGACCCCTGAGGGATGCGTAATGCCCCGTAGGTCTGCCTGGAATAACGGGTTGTGGGTGATTGGGTATTTAGGTGAGGTGGTTGGTGTTAATTCCGAGCCTCGATATATTGATTTCCAAACTTTGAGTGTCGTAGTGATCGTGGGTAAATTGTTTGGAATCGTGCTATGTGGGGAATGAATAGTCCAGGGTAGGGCTATGAGCGGGGTTCCTATTTGAGCTTGTTCTAGTTCAACCCATATCTTTCTTCCCTCTGTCCTAGACCATTCCATGATCCTACCTAGATGAGTTGCCCTATGGTATTGAAGGATATTGGGGCATCCCAGGCCCCCCCTCTCCTTAGTTTTAGTCAAGGTATGATATGCTACTCGTGGTCTTTTCTTAGCCCAAATGAATGCTGTGAGTATGGACTGGATTCTTCGGAAAAATTCCGAGGGTATGTGGATTGGTATAGTATTGAGTAGATATAAGATACGTGGGAGAACATTCATCGTAATGATATTTATACGTCCCAGTGATCTTCCATTATATATGGGGACATCAATCATTTAACGGACCCCAATTTAGACACCTCCACCCCTGTATAAACTCAAAACTAAAGACCATGCAATGGGGAACAAAGCAGGATCGCTATTGGCAGGTAGATTAAGGGAACTGCAGGTACAATCCAAAATCGCCCATATAATAACAGATTAAGGTTAACAAGTGATTAAACCTCAGGATATATGCAACGCATTTGCTGAGTTTTATGGTGTGAAAAAAAAACCTTGTCTTACGGACTTAGTTCAACTGTTTTATTCCCCTCTTAGAACACCAGTTAAACCCTTAATGCCTTGTTACATTCAAACATGGTCTGACCCAATAGCTATCATATTCAAACACTGCCTGACCTTATAACTGTCATTTTTTTCTTTTTTCCTCAGAGGAGTTGTTATACTGCATGAATACTGTTGCTTTGTGTGCCATTAAAAAAGATCTCTACGCAGAATTAAGCCTTGGCTCATGTGTGAGGGGTTATGCTATGCTTGTGTCTACTCTATGCCTGGAAGGATTATTCGCTAACTACTGGGAGAAAGGGAACCCAAGACGGTCAGAGAGGGTTGGACCATCACAATTGGTGGCAGCGGCGGGATCGTCCCTTTCTCATGGATTTATAATTCAAGGCTGAACCTGGAGCATGCATGGAAGCTTACTACAACCAGCTCAAGCGTAACACCCTGAAAGAATTGTTGGTGGTTCGAGGGGGCAGTGGCAGCAATAAGACCAAGCGCTGTGTTGTAAGCGAACTAATGGAGCTGGACAGGGAAAGCGTGGCTGCGGCAACTCTGGCTGTTCGTGCAGAAGAAAGCAAAGTGGACTGAGAAATAAGGGAAGCCCTGCACCAGAAATCATCCTTCGCATAATTGACAGTGCGAATGAAAATGCAAATAAGTGACGGGAATTACAAATCCGCTTAGTGGAGGCGCAGATAACTACAGCAGTCGCACCGAACAGTTCCAGCTTAAAGCCCAAACCACGGAAAATTCCCTTCAGCGCATTCAAATCATTTGAGGAGGCTACAGGCGAGATTGATGGCTATTTGGTGGTCTTTGAGAGACAATGTGCTCTACACAAGATACCAGAAGGGGAACGGGTTCCAATTTTGGCTGGAAAGCTCTCCGGCAAAGCAGTTGATGCATTCAGAGCCATTCCTGATCAGGACATAAGCAGCTGTGGGTGAAGGAAGCCCTCCTAGCCCAGTGCGCAGTGACAGGCTTACCGGTGAAAATTCTGGGAGTCCAGGAAGACAGCAACCGATTCGCACATGGAGTGGGCTTGCAGGCTGCATCGGGCAGCCACCCACTTGGTGAATGGATGCCAAGCTACCACTCTGGAGGAATTATTACAGCTGGTGCTGCTTGAACAGTTTTTCTCGCTGCTACAAATAGATGTAATAGAATGGGTGAGGGATCATAACCCCCTCACCCTGCAAGAAGCAGCCCGGCTTGTAGATGAATATACGAATGCCCGCAAGCCGGAACGATCGTCCCTCAGACCTCAACCAGCACGGGTTGAGCCACCAGCACCAATGTCAGGGGGCAACTATCCACCACCACAGTGAGCCCCAGCAGCCATTAGTCGACCTCCCCAGACTACGATACCCAGATGTTTCCGGTGCAAGCAGGTGGGACACTACCGCAGGGATTGTCCAATGGAACCTACCCAATCTATGTGGAATTGTCCATCTAGCACCAGTTCCCGACCAGCAGTGCACACCATCGACTACCCTGTGTCCTCTACCTGGGAGGCCCAGCAGTTAACCAGAGAGGAGCCCTTGGGGTTCCTTCATGAGGCCAACCCGGTGCAGGCCCCCAGCGGAGATAATCGACAACACCACTGACAACTAGTAATGGTTAATGGCAAGACATTGCAAGGCCTACGAGATACAGGAGCCACCATCACCCTAGTACAGAGACACTTGCTCAACAACCACGAGCCACCCGGCAAATCCATCACTATACAGATAGCAGGGGGAGCCGTCTACAGGATTCCTACCACCCAGGTTCATTTGGATTGGGGTGTGGGGTCTGTAATTGTGAAAGTGGGGGGTCATGAAGGATTTGCCTGCAGATGTGATCATCGGAAATGACTTAGGTCCACTTACTTCTGCCTATGTGCCTACACCTAACCACTAGATATCCTGAAGCGGTAGCACTGGCTAACATTGAGGCAGAGACAGTGGACGATGGTCAAGGTGTTCTCAAGAGTCGGATTTCCCCAAGGAAATCCTATCTGACCAGGGTACCCAGTTCACTGCCGCTGTGACCCAGCAATTGTGGAAGTCTGCAGGATAAAACCCCTGACCATCCCCAGACCAGCGGTCTCTGCGAGCGGTTCAATGGGACTCTGAAGCAGATGCTGAAGATGTTCACGGCCGCTTGCAGGGACTGGGAGCGATTCCTGCCGCACCTCCTTTTTGCTTACCGGGAGGTCCCACAGGAATCAACGGGGTTCTCCTCCTTTGAGTTGCTAAACGGGAGGTGGGTGAGGGGACCCCTAGACCTGATTAGGGAGCATTGGGAGGGAGCCACAGAGTCAGCAGGGACCCCGGTGATGCCATATGTGCTGGAGCTGAGGGACCGTATGGAGGCGTTGACCCAGATGGTGCGTGAAGGCCTCCAGTCGGCTCAGCAGTGCCAGCGGGTATGGTACGACCAGAAGGCCAGGCACAGTAGTTTTCAGGTAGGACAGCAAGTTATGGTACTTAAACCAGTCCGACGGGACAAACTACAGGCTACCTGGCAGGAACCCTACAAAATTATTGGGAAAGTATGTTACATTACGTACATAGTAGCCAGCTGTGATGATGGGAATGTAAAGCGCATATTTCACATCAACTTGCTGAAGGAATACAAGGGTAGAGAAGAGGACATGGCAGCCGTGAGTGTGCCACCATCTGAGGATCTAGACACCCTACCCCTGCCGGATCTATTGGAGGGCGACCAGAGGGTACAGGCTATATAGCTGGTACAGTTGGGGGAATGGCTGGGACCACAGGAAGCAGGCTACGTTCTCTCAGGTGCCCGGGTACACGAGGCTGGCCGTCCACAGGATGGAGACCCCAAGCCATGCTCCCTTGTGGCAGCCCCCCTACCACATACCCGAGGCAGTCCGGGAAGGGATGCGGAGGGAAATAAATGAAATGCTATGCTTAGGGGTCATTGAACATTCTGAAAGTCCTTGGGCTTCGCTGGTAGTGCAAGTGCCGAAGCGGCACGGCACGACCCGCTTCTGCATAGACTACTGACGACTCAACGATAAGACTGTCACAGATACCTACCCGATGCCCTGGGTAGACGAACTGTTGGACCGGTTGGCTAGGGGGAAATATCTGACAACGACAGACTTATGTAAGGGCTACTGGCAAATTCCCCTAGCCGAGGACGCCATTCCGAAATCGGCCTTCATCACCCCGTTCGGCTTATACCAGTTCCGAGTTATGCCGTTCGGGATGAAGAATGCCCCAGCCACTTTCCAATGGATGGCATATTGCCTCCTAAATGGTCTCCCGGATTATGCGTGTGCATACCTGGATGACATTGTGATTTTTAGTGAAACCTGGGAGGCCCACTTAGAACATGTAGGGACGGTACTGTATAGAATCCGGGCAACCGGATTGACATTGAAGCCTGACAAGTGTCACATTGGTATGGCAGAGGTGCAGTACTCGGGCCACTGGGTAGGATGTGGAAAACAACGCCCGGAGCCCGCTAAGATTGAGGCTGTTGCGAACTAGCCCACCCCCCGTACCAAGACGCAAGTTATGGCTTTCTTAGGGACAGCCGGCTACTACAGACGCTTTGTCCCCGACTACAGTGCCCTGGCCAAACTCCTGACGGACTTGACGAAAAAGAACTTACCCCGACAGGTCCTGTGGTCCCCGGTGTCCGAGGCAGCCTTTCAAGCATTGAAGCAAGCTCTTATAAACGCACCTGTTCTTGCTGCCCCCGATCCTAACAAACATTTCATTGTACACACAGATGCTAAAATGTTTGGACTGGGGGCAGTCTTAAGCCAAGTCGGAGAAGACAGGGGGAGCACCCTGTAGCCTATTTGAGCTGAACATTGTTGCCCAGGGAGGTCAGCTATGTGGCCATTGAAAAAGAATGCCTAGCTTTAGTGTGGGTATTGAAGAAACTAACACCCTACCGATATGGCCGGCCGTTCACCCTCATCACGGACCTCTCGTCTGGCTCAATCGGGTTGCAGGGGATAATGACCGACTTCTACGGTGGAGCCTCGCATTACAACCATATGACTTCACCATCCACTACCGACCTGGCAAAATGAATGGGAATGCGGATGGCCTATCCCGACAGACTGAATTAGTGGCCTAAATTTCGCAAGGATTACCCGGACAGCCCCAAGTCGACCCGAAAAGGGTCCAACTGTGTCTGCGGAGCCGTCAGCAAAGGGAGAGCAGTGTGAAGAAAACCCCTGTTTTATGGACTTAGTTTGACTTTTTTATTCCCCTCCTAGAACACACTGACACTCCAGGCTAATTTACAATTTGGGGATGTGAGCCATGGAGATTGAACACCACTCTGTTGCAGAATACTAAATTCTGCACAGAGGCCGAATCCAAACTCTCCACTTATTTCTCCATGAAAGACTCACCGGGGACATAACCTTGGTTTGGCAGTATCATAAAGCCGTAATCTGCTGAGTATTCATCAGACGAGCTTTGTTCATGAAAAAACAATCCCAGACAAAACTTGACCTCCTACATACATTGAGGGATCTAACTACATCTCAGTACCTAAACCCGACCACCAACAATGCAGAACAAATTAATCAAGTACAACGGGTGTCACTTTTCAGTTCTACTACTGAAACACTACCGACTGATATGCTCGCGCCTAATGCGGCCACTTTACCCAAACCCGACAAACCCCTGATAAAACGTGCTAATTTTAGACCCATCTCATTATTAAATTCAGATATCAAAATACTAGCAAAGGTCTTTGTGAACTGACTCATCTCGATCCTCCCAACCATAGTCCATTCTGAGCAAGTGGGCTTTGTTCGTTGAAGACAGGAAGCAGACGGAAGACGCAAACCGCTCGCACTCCTCTATAGCATGCATTAAAACTCCCCCAACAGCTTATTCCTCTCCTTAGATGCCAAAAAGGCATTTGACCGTCTACATTGGTGATTTCTGCAGGCGGTCCTTGAAAAATTTGGATTTCATGAGCATTTTATTTCTATTACCAAATCCCTCTATAGCAATCCTATAGCCAGAGTTTTTAATTCTGGTTTCCAATCCAACCCTTTTACATAAGGGAATGGGACTAGACAGCTACCCCCTATCCCCACTACTGTACAACATGGCATTGGAGCCACTGTTGGCTTCTATCTTTTCAAACAGGGAGATTCAAGGTATCTGCAATAATGACAGGGAAATGAAACTGACCCTCTTTGCAGATGATATCCTCCTGACTATTACCATCCCCCAGGTCTCCCTACCAGCATTTCATTCTCTATTGTGGGCATACAGCCAGTGCTCATGTTATAAACAAAACCTCACAAAAATGCAGGCCATGGGGGTGAGGATGAACAGGGTGTTCATAAGGGTAGTTTTTTGTAGATCTTTTAACAGGATGTTAAAAGATCTATAAAAATAGTACCCTTATGATTGGAGAACAGACCACCTCACCTTCCTTGGAGTTAGACTGCCACATACCTTGTCTAAACTCTACCACCTAAATGATATCAAACTGAGTAGGGAAATAACGACCACATTGTAAAATTGGAGACATATGTTCATATCATAGTCGGGCCTAATAGCTGTGGTC